AGGTACCAGCAATGGCTCTTTGTGATCACCAGCTACAAACCTCACATCAGGTGAACTTGAGTGAGTCTTTCCTTGGAATCCCGAATGCAGCTACTTTAGATAGTGGTTCCTTACCTTGGGCTGTTCTTATGTAACTGGTTTTAATTTCAGCTTTTTAAAATTGGCTCAAAAGAAAAATTAAAATTAAGATGGGAAATTCTGCTGATGAGGCAAACAAAGTCTTACAATAGTAAGCTTCTCTTTAGTACTCTGGCAAGTTTTTGTTTGTTTTGTTTTGCTTTGTTTTGTTTTGTTTTGTTTTTATATATAATACATACAGAGCCTTAACTTGCTAGTATCTACAGAAATGAGGAAGTTTCATTAAAATTGATATCAGTTGATGATGGCCAAAATAGGAGCTAATTTGACACCTCAAAATTAATTTTTTTGTATGTGCTCAGTTGGAAAAAGTAGGCTTTAAAACTGAACTGAATAAATGGAAGGTTTTCCTTGATTAGAAAATAGGAAGCTTTAAAAGGAGTACAGATAGCCTGGCCAGTGATGGTCAGTGGTTGAGCATCCACCTTTCAACCAGGAAATCTCAGTTCTATTCTGGTCAGGGCACATGCCTGGTTCCTGGCTCAATCCCTAGTATGGAGCATGCAGGAGGTAGCCCATCAATGATTATCATAATTAATGTTTCTATCTCTCCCTCTCCCTTCCTCTCTCTGAAAATCATTAAAAATGTATTTTTAAAAAAATAAGTTAAAAGAAACACAGATAAATTTCCTTTTTTAAAGAAAGTTAACAAAATCTTAAAGACTGTCTTTGAATCCTCAAATAAAAATCTCTTATCTTCAGTAAGTTAATAAGAAACTTTTAGAGCCGAAACCGGTTTGGCTCAGTGGTAGAGCGTCTGTCTGTGGACTGAAGGGTCCCAGGTTTGATTCTAGTCAAGGGCATGTATGTTGCGGGCACATCCTCGGTAGGGGCTGTGCAGGAGGCAGCTGGTTGATGTTTCTCCCTCATCGGCGTTTCTAGTTTTCTATCCCTCTCCCTTCCTCTCTGTGGAAAATCTATAAAATAAAATATATTTTAAATATATATATTTTAGAGAATCCAAGATGGCTGCACAGGCAAACACCTAGCCGCAGCTGCACACACAATTTCAATAAAATACAACTAAAATATAAAATGGACATTACCCAGAACTACAGGAAAGTCAGCTGACTGGAAATTCTACAACGAGAAGCAAGGAGAAAACCAGAAGGAAGCGCAGAGGAGCTGTAAAAGCCCAAGGTACGGAGACACAAGGCGCGCGCGGAGAGGACGAAGCTGGAGAGGAGGGAGGCTGATTGCCTGGCTAGCGTTCCCGAGCGGGAAGGAGATAAAAGCTCCGACAGTGCCGAAACCGGTTTGGCTCAATGGATCGAGTGTCGGCTTGGGGACTGAAGGGTCCCAGGTTCGATTCCGGTCAAGGGCATGTACCTTGGTTGCGGGCATATCCCCAGTGGGGGGTGTGCAAGAGGCAGCTGATCGATGACTCTCTCTCACCGATGTTTCTAACTCTCTATCTCTCTTTCTTCCTCTCTGTACAAAATCAATAAAATATATTAAAAAAAAAAAAAAAAAAAAAAAAAAAAAAAGCTCCGACTGTGCTGGGCCCCAGTTCCAACTGCTCTGAACCCCAGTTCTAGGCCAGATCCCGAGGACCCAGGCTCATCCATAGGGAGCTGGGCTGTAAGGCAGAACCCCGAAGGGGGGGGAGAGGGGACGGCGAAAGGAGGTCCCAGAGGCGTGCACATTGCATGCAGAGAAGGGATGGTTGGCTGTGCCATGGAATAGCCCTGGCAGGAAGGAGACAAAGGCTCTAGACTGCTCTGAACGCCACCTCCAATCCCACTTCCAACTGAACTGAACCCTAGTTCTGGGCTCATTGGGGGAGAGCCTAGACTAGGGGTGTCGAACTCAATCAGAGAAGGGGCCAAAATCTAAAATCCAGCCTAAATCGCGGGCCGAATGGTTTACTGAACAGTCATAAACTGTCATTGTGATGGAAACGCAGCGAAGTGCAGTGATGACAGCGCGGTGCGGGCCACATTGCAAGGCCTGGCGGGACGGATTTGGCCCACAGGCCTTGTGTTTGACACATGTGGCCTAGACTGTTTGGTAGCAGGCTGTAGGCTCCACCCTGAAACTCTGCCCCATTCAAGATGAACACAGAGACTTTTAAGGTTACCAACTCAGGGAAGCTGCGAAAATACCAAGACAAGGAAACAGATCACAAACAAAAGAAATGGAAGACAAAAAGCGACTGAATATAGAGTTCAAAACCACGCTTATAAGGTTTTTCAAGAATTTCCTAGAAAAGGTCGATAAGACCTATGAGGATATGAAAAGAGATCAACTAGAATTAATAAGGAATCAATGAGAAAATGATAAGAGATCAACAAGAAATAAAGAATACATTGTCTGAAATAAAAAATATTATACAGAGTCCTAAAAACAGAATGAAAGATCACAAGAATCAAGTCAAAGATTGGGAATATAAAGAGCCAGAAGACACTCCTCCGCAGAAGCAAGAAGACAAGAGAATCCAGAAAATTGAAGATAATGTAAGAAACTTCTGGGACAACTTCAAGCAAACCAACATCAGAATTATGGGGGTCCCAGAAGATGAGAGAGAGCAAGATATCGAAAACATACTGAAAGAAATAGTGACAGAAAACTTCCCCCACCTGGTGAAAGAATTAGACTTACAAGTCCAGGAAGTGCACAGAACTCCAAACATACTTATAAGTCTATCATTTAAAGACATGTACTGAAGCAAATTTGTATTTGTTTCATGAGCATCTTCCTTTAATCTATTATAAAGTTGAAATTAAATATAGAGAATGTTTAAAAAAAAAAAAAAAAGACAAGTGCTGGCAAGGATGCGGAGAAAAGGGAACCCTCATGCACTGCTGGTGGGAATGCAGACTGGTGCAACCACTGTGGAGAACAGTATGGAGTTTCCTCAAAAAACTGAAAATGGAATTCCCATTTGACCCAGTAATCCCACTCCTAGGAATATATCCTAAGAAACTAGAAACACCAATCAGAAAGGATATATGCACTTCTATGTTAATAGCAGTGCAATTTACAATAGCTAAAATTTGGAAACAGCCTAAGTGCCCATCTGCAGATAAAAAAGCTGTGGGACATTTACACCATGGAATACTATGTGGTAGTAAAAATGAAGAAACCCTTACCATTTACAACAGCATGGAGGGACCTGGAGAGTATTATGCTAAGTGAAATAAGCCAGTCAGAGAAAAATAAGTACCACATGAGCTCATCCATATGTGGACTCTAATGAATAAAATAAACTGGTGAACAAAATAGATCCAGAGACACAGAAGCATAAAACACACTGACCAATTTCAGAGGGAAGGCAGGGGTATGGTGGGGTGGAGAGAGATTAACTGAAGAACATATATTGAAATACGTATTGCCCATGGACACAGACAATATTGTGATGAAAGCCTGGGAGGATAGCATGTGGGACGGAGTGGGTCAATGGGGAAAATCAAAGGGAACATCTATAATACTTTCAAAAATAAAGATCAATTTTAAAAATTAGCCGAAACTGGTTTGGCTCAATGGATAGAGCATCGGCTTGGGGACTGAAAGGTCCCGGATTCGATTCCGGTCAAAGGCATGTACCTTGGTTGCGGGCATATCCCCAGTAGGGGGTGTGCAAGAGGCAGCTGGTCGATGACTCTCTCTCATCGATGTTTCTAACTATCTCTCTCCCTTCCTCTATGTACAAAAATCAATAAAATATATATTTTTTAAAAAATAAATAAATAAAAAATTAAGATTAGCCTGGTATAATTTGGCCAAACATTTAATTAACTCACCCTGATGCCTTGGCAGGGCCAGACCAAATGATTTCATGAGCCAGATGTTCCCCACCCCTGCAAGCAACTGAGGCACAGAGAGGAAAATTGACTTCCCCAAGGGCACACAATTGGTAACCTGAAGAACCAAAATTCTAATGCAGTTTCCGGAGTCCAGACTCTAACCACCACACCTATAGCCTCTGCAAATGAGAGCAATAAATGAGGCTATAATTTACTAAGGGATGTTATGAGGATTAATAAAATAATGTATGTAAAGCCCAATATGTGACAAGTGTCTGACAGGTAGCAGTTGTGTGTATTATAGATTTTTCCTTCTGCACTTAGAAATCTGCATGGCCTTGTCTCGGGATAGAAAAACCAAGAGGTTGGAGGGAAAAGAACAGAAGCCAGGGGAGAAAGGGGTGAGGTAGAATATGGAAGGGGAGTCTTGGGGTTTTGGGGGAGAAAGAAACTTTCCTTTACCCTCCTAGGTTCCTTTTGCTGGTCTAATAATCAAATAGACATGAGACAGATTAACAAGAGAAATTAAGTAAACTTAATTACATATGTATGTTTGGGGACCTCACATACATGAGAGAGTCAGAGATTGCACATACATGAGAGGTTCAGAGACAGAAAGGAAAAATGAGGTGTATATGACATTCTAAGCTAAGGATGAGTAAAGTGCTGTGGGGCTTCCCAGGCTGATAAGAGGAGCAGATACTCAGTAATTAGGAGTTTGCCCTGCCCTATAGTTAGGTCACAAAGGGTTATTTCAGATGATAAGTCTTTTTATGGGCTAGGGCCCTAATTTACATTCCTTAGAGAGGTAAAAGTTTAACTTGAGCCTACAGGGTCTCTGTTGTTCCCTTTAGCTCAAAACAGCCTGCATACCACAGAGGCACGTCTTAGTGTGACTGATTCTGAATCCTTACTGGGTAAACGAGAAGAGAGGGAACCTTGAATACTTAGGAAACAAGAAGTCTAACTGGCTGGGCCTTGAGGGAGCGTGGAGACTCTTTCTCAACAGCAAACAGAAACTTGCTAACTGCAGAGCAGATGGCAAATCCGAGAGGCTTCCGACTCTGAGGCCTCCTCCGCCCCACCCACTCCACCCTGAGGCCGTCAGGGCGGTCCTCGCTTCCCGGCCCGGCCGAGTCCGTCCCTCTACGGGCGGACCGCGCCCGCCCCCTCCGCCGAGAGCCCGGGAGCCCGGGAGCCCGGGAACCCCAGGCCCGAGACACTTGTGGTCCCGGAGGCCGGGGCCGGGGCTCAGGTGGTGGGGCGCTATGGCGACATGGCGACGTGATGGCCGGCTCACTGGCAGCCAGCGGCTTCTGTGCGCGGGGCTGTCAGGCGTGCTCAGTTTGAGCCTCACCGCGCCGCTGGAGCTCGCCACCGTGCTAGCCCAGGTCGGCGTGGTGCGGGGTCGCGGCCGGGGACCGTGGGCCGCGGGGCTCGGCGTCTGGCGAGCGGAGGGGCCCAGGGCTCTGTGGAAGGGGAACACGGTGGCGTGCCTGCGCCTCTTCCCTTACAGCGCCGTGCAACTCACCGCCTACCGCAAGTAAGGGCCGGGCGAGCTGGTGGACGGGGCCAGGAGGAGGGATCGCTGGGGATCCTGGGATCAGGTCCCTGCCTTAGGCCCTTTTCGGATCGCGTGGGAGCCCCTCAGAGCCAATTTGGCCAAAAGGTGACAACGAGGGCCCAAAGCGCAGTCCCTAAGTTTGTCACGTGCTCTTGGTATTCCTGCCTCTTCAGGTGCGGTTTTGTGGGGGTAGCACTGGCCCAGACAGGCTCAACGGGTTGGATCAGTGAGGAGGTGCAATGTGACAAAAGGAGATTTGGGGGAGGAAGTGAAGAGATCCCTGCAGATGGCTCCTAACCATTCATTCCACAGTCCACCAACTTGGAAACTGCCTTGGCTAGCCTAGGAGAGACCCCTTGGAAGAAGGCGAGTGTATGCAACTGTGTCTGTGTGACCAAAGCCCACAGAAGAACGTGTTTGATAGGGGTAGAGGGCTCAATCCATTGCCACAAAAAGACCAGATTTCTACACACACACACACACACACACACACACACACACACACAAATGAAGCCAGTCTTTAGGGTCCAACAGAGGCCACAGCTGCTTCTCATGCTCACTGGCCTCATTCTTATGTTAGGGCTTCAGGCTTACCTCAACAGCTGCTTTTTATGAAACGACTAGAGGCCTGGTGCACTAAATTCTTTTTTTTTTTTCCCCCTGGGGAGAGGAAGGGTGTCCTTCAACCCAGCCTGCACCCTCTCCAATCTGGGGACCCCTCTCCAATCCGGCCTAAACGGCCAATCGGACATCCCTCTCACAATCCAGGACTGCTGGCTCCCAACTGCTCGCCTGCCTGCCTTCCTGATTGACCCTAACCACTTCTGCCTGTCAGCCTGATCGATGCCTAACTGCTCCCCTACCAGCCTGATCGATGCCCAACTGCTCCCCTGCCAGCCTGTTTGCCCCTAACTGCTCTCCTCTGTAGGCCTGGTCCCCCTCAACTGCTCTCCCCTTCAGGCCTGGGTCTCTCCCAACTGCCCTTCCCTGCAGGCCTGGTCACCCCCAACTTCCCTCCTCTGCCAGTTTTGTCACCCCTAACTGCCCTCCCTTGCAGGCCCGGTCTCTCCCAACTGCCCTCCCCTGCTGGCCATCTTGTAGTGGCCATCTTGTGTCCACATGGAGGCAGTTATCTTTGACCACATGGGGGCAGTCATCTTGTGTGTTGGAGTGATGGTCAATCTGCATATTACCAGGATAGAGGCCTGGTGCACAGGTGGGGGCCAGCTGATTTGCCCTGAAAGGTATCCCGGATCAGGTTGGGGGTTCTCTTGGGGCATGGGGCAGCCTGGGCGAGGGGCCTGTGGTAGTTTGCAGGCTGGCCAGGCCCCCTGGCAACCCAAGCAGAGGCCCTGGTATTTGGGGTTTATCTTCTACAATTGAAATTTTGTAGCCTGGAGTGAAGCCAAGCCTTCTGCTTGCTTCTTAGTGGCAGCCATTTCTATTGGGATTTGTGTATCTTCTATAATTGAAACTTTGTAGCCTTAAGCAGAGGCCTGGGCCAGCCAGGGTGTGTAGAAAGCTTGGCTTTCTCCATCACCAGGGCCAACCCTAGCCTCCTGCTCTTTCCAGCTCTGTGGCTGCTGCCATTTCTGTTTGGATTTATGTATTTTCCATCATTGAAACTTTGTAGCCTTGAGTGGAGGCCTAGGCTGGCAAGAGCAGGTGGAAAGCTAGGCTTCCTCCATTGCTGGGGAAACCCAAGCCTCCTCCTGTTCTCTATGGCCGTAGCCATCTTGGTTGAGTTTATTTGCATATTTGCTCCTGATTGGTTGGTGGGCGTGGCTTGTGGGCATGGCTTGCAGGTGTAGCAGAGTGATGGTTAATTTTCATATTGCTCTTATAAGATAGGATGAGGCCAAATGAGTCTTAAAGCTTCCTCAGAGCTCATAGATTTTTTTTTTCCTTTTAGCTGAAAACAAAGCCTAAAAGAATGAAATCGTAAGTGATGCAATTTCAAAGAGGGAATATTCCTATATTAGGAAGGGGAACACAGTGCTTCCTAACTCTGAAGACTGACCTTGGCTCTGAATTAGACAAACAGCCCACAGTCTTGACCACATTGTTTAGCCTTGGAAGCTAATAGTCAAAGAATTTTGCCTTTGACTCTGGGAGGCCAGAGCTGGAAGGCTCACCTGGCAGCTGACAAGCAAGATGGAATATACATTGAAATTATTACCTCAATCAACCTTATCACTGAGTCCTCCAGGTCAGGGCTCATTTCATCTACGCCTGGGAGTAGAGTTACCTTGTCTTCCTCTGAGAAGGAAGATAGTGAGAGTACCAGGCATTTCTGTCAAGGCTCTCTTTCCTCCCCAGAACTCCATTACCATCAGCAACTTCTGGCCTGAAGTCTGTAAACAGCTGAGCTATAATGGCTCATCTTCTCACTTCACTTTCTTCTCCACGAAGCATACCCAGGGGAAGAAGGCAGGTTAAAGTGTTGTGGCTTTTCTGCTAACCACCTAGTATGCAGTATACCTGTATACATCATTTGATTTTTAAAACAGATTGAGATATAATTGACACAAAAATTGTTTATATTTGAAGTGTGCAACTTGGTATTTTTATGTACACTCAAATTATTACCTCAATCAAGCTAATTAATATATGTCACCTCTATATAGTTATTTTATGTGTGTGTGTGTGTGTGTGTGTGTGTGTGTGTGTATACATGCATGTGTACATCACTGAATTTTTAAAATTCCTGTAAGGTCCATAGCATGAGAAATATGCCCATTTTACAGATGCAAAATTGTACTCCAACTGGCCATACCATTAATCAATGACAGCTGAGCTCCACTGCTGGGCTTTCTGACTTCAATCTCATATTCTACTACATCATGTTGCCTTTTTCTCTGACTTTATTTCACATTAATTTAGCAAGTCTTCATTAAGTACCAATCGTGTGCATAATACTGGGAATGAGGCAGGGATGAAAGGGGCCTGGTCCCTGTGCCCCAGAACTGAAAAGTAATAGAAGAATAAGAGTAGTGAGTAGTGTGTCCATAGTGTAAGATTGCCATGGTTGAAGTGCTATAGAAATAAACAGTTCCGATGAGGGATGAAGAGGAAGAGATGTGAAGACTTCACAGAGGAGAAAAACCATCTGAGTTTGGTCTTAGGAGAATGAGTAGGAGTTTGCTGGGCAAAGATAGGGAGAAAGATATTGCAGGTAATGTTATGAGCAAAAGTGCAGGGGTGGGAAGGCATGTAGCATGACTGGAGCATAAGGGGTGTCTACAGCAGTAATGGGAAATACAGCCAGAAAAGCAAGTTAGAATCAGATGTTGGAGGGTCAGGTAAAAGAGTTTGGACTTTTCTTGGTATGCAAGAGTAGCTGTGGGAGTTTTTTCAGGGGAACATGCTCTCATTAAAGCAAGTCAGCAGGAATAATTGTCACCTGGATGCAGGGTAGGATGACTAGAGAGGAGGAAGACTGGAGAGGGGTGACAGAACCAGTTAGGAACCTATTGCACTGACCAGTAACAGCTGAGTACACCTGCAATAGACTGGTGACAGTGTGAGTAAAGAAGATTTGATGGATCGGAGAGGAAGAAGAGATAGTTATTAAGCTAGGTTTGCTAGTAGTTTTTTCCCTGCAAGATTATTTTTTTCATTCTTTCTCTTTTGCTATTTAATAAATCTTTATTGTTCAGATTATTACAATTGTTCCTCTTTTTTCCCCCTATAGCTCCCCTTTACCCAGTTCCCACCCCACTCTCTGCCCTCACTTCCCACACACACTGTCCTCATACATAGGTGTACCATTTTTATCCAGTCTCTTCCCACACCCCCATGCCCCGTTCCCCGTGAGAATTATCAATCCACTCCCTTTCTATACCCCTCATTCTATTATATTCACCAGTTTATTCTGTTTATCAGATTTTTAATTCACTTGATTTTTAGATTCACTTGTTGATAGATATGTGTTTGTTGTTCATAAATTTTATCTTTGCCTTTTTCTTCTTTCTCTTCTTAAGGAATACCTTTTATCATTTCATATAATACTGGTGTGGCAGTGATGAATTCCTTTAGCTTTTTCTTATCTGTGAAGCCCTTTATCTGACTGTCAATTCTACTGTAAATGATAGCTTTGCTGGGTAGAGTAATCTTGGTTGTAGTTTCTTGCTATTTCTCACTTTGAATATTTCTTGCCACTCTCGCCTGGCCTGCATAGTTTCTGTCGAGAAAGCAGTTATCTCCCTTGTAAATAACTGTTTTTCTCTTGCTGCTTTTAATATTCTCTTTGTCTTTTGCTCTTGGCATTTTAATTATGATATATCTTGGTGTGGTCCTCTTTGGATTTCTTTTGTTTGGGGTTCTCTGCACTTCCTGGACTTGTAAGTCTATTTCTTTCACCAGGTAGGGGAAGTTTTCGGTCATTATTTCTTCAAATAGGTTTTCAGTATCTTGCTCTCTTCTTCTTCTGGCATCCCTATAATTCAGATGTTGGTACACTTGAAGTTGTCCCAGAAGCTCCTTACACTATCTTCATATTTTTGGATTCTTTTTTCTTTTTTCTTTTCTAGTTGGGTGTTTTTTGCTTCTTTGTATTTCACATCTTTGGCTTGATTCTTGTGATCCTCTAGTCTGCTATTGGATCTCTGTATATTATTTTTAATTTCAGTCAGTGTATGCTTAACTTCTAGCTGGTCCTTTTTCATATCCTCAAGGGTCTCTCTAAATTTATTGGTGGTTTCTAGAAAATTCTTGAAAAACCTTATAACCATGTTTTTGAACTCTATATCCAGTAGTTTGCTTTCCTCTATTTCTTTCATTTGTGACCTGTTTCTTTGTCTCCGCATTTTGCCTGTTTCCTGAGTTGATAGAGTGGCTTTGTGTGCTAGGTGTCCTATAGGGCCCAGTGGCTCAGTCTCCCCAATTACTTGAGATGGACACTCTTGGTGTACCCCTTTGTGGGCTGTGTGCACAGTCTTATTGTAGTTAAGCCTTGATTGCTGTTGGTATCACTGGGA